CAACAACCCTATCCAGAGAACTGTATGAAGTCTATGGGGAGTATGACAATGACCAAGCTGCATATGCAAAAGAAGTGCACAAGTTTGGGATCTTGTAAGAAGATCTCTTACACGTTGCCCACGACAATATGTTCCTTCTTATTCCAAGTTAATAATGCACTTTTTTTCTCTGCAGAAAGAGATGGAGTGGCAAATGAAGGAAAGAAACCAGTTGCTACAGGAAAAGGAGGCACTGGAAAAAGAACTGGAGCAGATAGAGAAACGTTCAATAGCTCAAGAAAGTCTGCACAAGGTATTAGAAAGTTCATTTAAATACTCGTTTAAAAGATTGATAAGCTTCCTTTTAGGACCAGCTTGCTAACTTGGTGTACAACAAAATGCAAAACCTCAAAGCAGTGTTTCAGACTGTCGTTCTGTCCATGAGCTCCAAAATTGTGAAATTGTTGTTCTTGGCTTATTATTTGGAATCCACAAAGTTAAGCCATTTCACAGGATTATCAACAAGGAAGAGGCTGAAGATACTCCTCCAGGTTTTTCTGTAGATTGCCCCGTTTCTTCCTCAGTATTTGGAATACCTTCTGGCTGTACTGCTTGCCAGAATGTTCCTGGCACCGTATGTATGTATGTATGTATGTATGTATGTTAGGCTTGGGCGATCCAGTTCGAATAACGAATAATTTCGTTATTCGTTATTAATTCGTATTTAAATTAGCTTACGATCTAATATTGAGCCATGCAGGAATAGTGTGAGGAGTAATTAAGAATCGAAACAATTTTTCCAATTTTCGTAATTATTTCGTAATTATTTTCGTATGTTTTACAAGTTTTACAATCTCGCATTTACCCCACTTCCGGTCCCTTTGCTCTGCTGCTTCCCTCCTCTTTCCTCATGCTTCTTCTTGCCTCACTCTGGGCTGCACTGGGCTACCTTCCTTCCTTCCTTCTTTCCTTCCTTCCTTCCAGCTGGCAAATCCCACATTCCCCCCTCCCTCCTCTTTCTCCTGGCATCCTTCTTGCCCAAAATTTCTCATTACTTTATTTTTCATACCCTCACTCTATGCCACAGGAATGCGTTGCCAGGTACAGCTAGTATATAATATAATATAATATAATATAATATAATATATATAATATAATAATATTATAATATATATTATATTATATTATAATATTATAATATAATATACAATAATATAATATAATAATATTATAATAATATAATATAATAATAATATAATATAATATACAACAATATAATATAATAATATTATAATATAATATAATATAGTTGTTGTTCGTTTTATCACACCAACAGTCAACAACAGAGGGAGAGGGAAGCTTCAGAAGTTCCCCCTGTCCCATTTGGAGGTTTTTTTAGCATATTGCACAATCGCGTCCGCCATTAACGAATCGATTCGTAATTTTACGAAATTTCGTATATTTCGAAATTTTTAAAAGGAAAATTTCGGAATTCTTAAAAAAAACGAAACGGCCCCCTAAAAACAAAACGAGTTTAGAACCAAATTTTTCCGTGGTTACCCAAGCCTAATGTATGTATTATTTATTTATTTACGACATTTATATGCCGCCCTTCTCACCCCGAAGGGGACTCAGAGCGGCTTACAAGATATATATACATACAATATATTATATTATTAGCATAGTACAATATCAGTATTATATATTACTATATTGTACTATACCATTATATTGTAATATTATTAGTAATATTACAAGCAATATAAAAATATAATAATATATTTTATTATTAGTAGTAGTAGTAGTATTACATTGCATAACATTATAATTCCTTTCACACAGCCCTAAAAGATTAGAGGGTTTGCTATATGTGAAGGCGATTCTTCATTTCTGGATTTTCTTCTGATGTAAGCATAGGTTATAAGTATTTGCTTGGTTTGTTCAGGAGGCACTAAAAATCTCAAAATAGATTCTTCTTGGACTTTTTTTGATGGAAGTGAATCTGGTTTTGCAAAATTTCTCAATTGAGAAGTGGTGAGGTTTCAGCCTATCTGCCCTTCACATTTGCTGTCATAAACACTCATAGTGGAGATAAGCATTTGTTTTTCACTGGGAGGCAAAACACATTATATATCAGGGCTATTTTTTTCTAAACATGCAAAAGCTTTGGAATACATCCCACTGGACGTTTGAGAATTTTTGGATTAAAATCCACTGGATGATTTTGGGAATTGACAGTCCCAAACCGTAGCTGTTCCAAACTCTGCCCCTAGATGTTGCTAAACTCCAAATTCCCATCAATTTCCAACCAATCTAGCCAATTCTGATGGATGGTGGAAAGTTCTTTATCAAACTCTGAGAACAAGTGGTTCTCCAACCTTGTTTCAGATGTGCAGAAGTATTTTGTGTTATCATAAGACTGTTCTTGACCTTGACAAGTATTTCTGAAGGCTGAGCATTGACTTAAGTTGTGTTCTGAAGTTTGGGCAGAGTTTGTAAGTTACTTTTTTGTTGTTGTAGAGCTCCCAGAACTCCCCTACTACCATGGTCCTGCTGGCAGGTGTAGTCTAAAAGCCTTGAGTTAAATAAGTTACTTTTTCATCTTATACATGTGAGATAGTTCAATGGGGAGCAAATAAATCTGGACTCAACCTGTAAAAAAATTATAAATAAAAATGTAATGTTCATTTGTGGTATTCACAGAACTCAAAAACCACTGGACGAATTAACACCAAATTTGGACACAAGACACCTAACAACCCAATGTATGTCCTTCACTAAAAAAAATGATTTTGTCATTTGGGAGTTGTAGTTGCTGGGATTTATAGTTCACCCACAATCACAGATCATTCTGAACCCACCAACGATAGAATTGGGCCAAACTTCCCACACAGAACCCTTATGTGGGCCACAGCAAAACGTGGCAGGGAGCAGCTAGTAATTTATATATATAAAAAAGCCCCAACCTTATGTCTCCCCCATGTGTAGGTGAACACCAGCTATCCTGAGAGGAGCGTTGTGTTTAAAGGCCACGTGGAAGAAGCGGAGAAGGAACAAACACTGCCTGATCCTGTGGTAGCCCAGGCACAGGTCCGATGCCCCATTCCCGGAGGATCAGCTCTCATTACTTTTGAGGATCCTGAAGGTAAACACGGCCATTTCTGGCTGAAATCTTCATAGGCTCCATCATGGTGGCCATCCATAACAAAGCATCAGAATCAGAGCAAAAGGAACAAATTGTGAAAGTCCCTTGTATTTTATACAAGGGACTCCCAGTCAGCTGCGCATCGGGACTGCATTAAGATCACTACTGACCAAAGGGTCACGAATTCGAAGTCAGCTCGGGTCGGAGTGAGCTTCCAACCATCTGTGTAGCTTGCTGTCAACCTTTGCAGCCTGAAAGACAGTGGCATCTGTCAAGTAGGAAATTTAGGTGCTGCCTACTCGGGGAGGCTAGTTTAACTAATTTACAATGCCATAAAAATCTCCAGCAAGCCTGCAAAGAATGAGGAAGTACTTCATCAGTGTCACAAATGGGAAATTTAGGTACCGTGTATGTGGGGAGGCTAATTTAACTAATTTATGATGCCATAAAAATCTCCAGAAAGCATGCAAAGAATGAGGAAGTACTCAGTGTCACAAATGGACAGTGAAGCAACAGCTCCCCTGGTGGCCAGAATACCCTCATGAAGCTGGAATGTTAAATAGCCTCTGTGCGTCTGTCTATATATGTTGTGTGTCTATGGCATTGAATGTTTGCCATGTATATGTACATTGTAATCCGCCCTGAGTCCCTGTGGGGTGAGAAGGGCAGAATATAAATACTGTAAATAAATATATAAATATATACATTCCTTGGGGGGAAAAGCAGGAATTGGAAAAGTGGCCATGCTAGTTGGGAGATTTGTGGAATTGGACTTCAAACAAATTATATTTCTGAGCTATGATCTCTCAGCTTGAACCCAGTTAGTTTCCACTGATGATATAGCTACTACTCAATGACAATTAGCAAAAGAGAGCAGATGTGGTAAACTTGGAATTCTCCTTTTGATTTATGATTCCGGTTGTGTCCAAGATTTCTTGAACCTGTTCCACAAGTCCACAGTCACTTCAACTCTTCAAGTAGTGAAGCAAATGGAGACATCTTTCTCCTCTCCATCTTAAGGAAGAGCGGCAATCGATAATTGACAGAGTTGAGAATGGAATAGAATTTCGCCCCAGAACTGATCTCTTTCCTTTCTTCTCCAGTTGCCCGTAGGATCATTGAAATGGGGCAGCATCGGGTTCAGCTAGACGACTGGACTTATGTCAACGTGAAAGCCGAGCCCATGACTTTGCTCTTGCTCGCATCTGTAGAAGTGAGTTCAAAACCCTTTTGCCTGCGCTTGAGGAATGTCCCTGTTTTATGTGGGGTGGCTTTTGTACTTCTGATAATGGTACATGGTGTGGAAGAAGAGGCAAATTCTCCATCAAGTGTGCATTGGCTCTCATTTAGAACTCAACCTTTTAGATTGGGTGGCCTCTTTTGGGTAGCATACGCTGCATTGAAGCCCCACTTCTAAAATAGCCCAGCCCAGTTTAAATATAAAGTCCCTATTATCCATACAAAATGCAGATCAAAATGCAGTGAGTCTACACTGCCAGATAATTTGGGATAAGAAGTTAATCTAGGATCAGATCCTGGGGTATAGGACAATGAAGCTTCAGCCTGAATTGTAATCTCCAAAAAGGAACATTTCCAAATAAAATGAGCTGGCAGACTGTGGTTTAGTCCTACCTGGGAGACTGCATGTTTTACAGATGTGAGTGCATATGAATCAGGAATGGAAAAAACAGCATTGTGATTGAAGGGCATTTTTTTTGTTGTTGTTCCTGGACTCTCTCAGAACTTCCTTCGCCCCAAAAAAGGAAAGAAATAAAAGTGTTCAAAAAGTAATGTTAGGATTAGAAAAATTAGTGAGCTTTTAAGTTCAACTGCATAGGATTTCTTGGAGCCTGATCCTTGGCAACTTAGCCCCCCCCGGTTCCATTAGAAAATGGAATGGTTAATAGTCACATAATGTTCTTCAGGGCTATATGTGACCCCGGAGCCAAACTTCCACTTTCCTTCTGAATGCCATATAGCATCATGCTCAGCTTCATGATGTTCTTTGTATCTTTGCAATTGTTCTTTGTATCATTGCAAGTTTGCATTAGGTTACCTTGGGAAGTCTGACCTGGCCATGGTTATATCCCATATAGACTACTGCAATGCGCTGTACGTGGAGTTGCCCTTGAAGACTGTTCAGAATCTTGAAATGGTCCAGCAGGTGGCAGACAGGTTGTTAACTGGAGCAGCTCTCAGGGAGCACACAACTCCTCTGTTGCGTCAACTCCACTGGCTGCCAGTTTGCTACCAGACACAATTCAAAGTGCTGGCTTTAGCCTATAAAGGCCTAAACAGTTCTGGCCCAGCTTACCTGTCCGAACGTATCTCTCCCTATATATCATCTAGGAATTTAAGATCGTCTGTGGAGGCCCTGCTCTTAATCCCGCTTTCTTCGTAGGCATGTCTGGCAGGACGAGAGACAGGGCCTTCTCAGTGGTGGCCCCTCGGCTATGGAACTCCCTCCCTAGGGATATTAGATTGGCACCCTCCATCTTGACCTTCTGGAAAAAAGTAAAAACTTGGCTCTTTGAACAGACTTTTGGAAATGCAGGGCAATAGACAAATATGGAATTACGGAAGTTTGAAACATGGAACGGCTTAGACGATGCTACTGGAAAATGTGGTTAACAGGAAGACATTGGATATTTTTTATGTTTTTAATGGTTTTGTATGGATTTTATAATGCTGTTTTAAATGTTTTTAATTGTACACTGTGACTGTTATGGCATCGAATTGCTGCCAACTTGTGAGTGGCCTTGAGAGTGCCTCCGGGTTGAGAAAGGCGGGATAGAAATATCGTAAATAAATAAATAAATGTAATTCCTTTAGTAAATTTAATTACATTTCTTCTCCACACTGCAGATCTCTGTGGCACGAAGTCCCCGGCAAGTCTGTTGTCTGGATTGCCCATCCTTTCAGTCTCAGAGGACAAGCTGCTTGACAAACTAGAACTGTTTTTCAGCAAACGGCAGAACAAGGGGGGTGAAGTGGACCGTGTGGAAAGACTGAGTGGCTCTGGCCATGTGGCACTTACTTTTGTGGAGGATGGAGGTAAGTTTGATGCTAGCACCAGAGGTTGGAAAAGTTATTATTCGGATACCAGTTTTTGGAATTGTGGAGTGCGCTAGATGATTCTGAGAGATGTAGTCATAAAAGGTAATTTTCCAAGCAGGGGGAATAGAAGAGGCTGGTGAATCAATGCTTAACACTGGGTGGGTAAAGTAGGAACATTTCTTCTCCCTGATCACTGTGGTACTTTGAGGCTGGCATCTGGTTAGTGGCATATGCTTGTGTGTCTCTAATCTTGGTCAGTTTCCCTTAATACTGACCAAAGCCTTGATGGACTTGCCATAAAATTATGAATGATATTACACATCCTCTCCTACTTTTTCTGTTCATAGAGCAGCAGTGTTGTACTTAATCTTGAAGTGCACAAAACTTAGCCACTCTATAAGTCACTGATAGGTTGTATTCTTTGACAGAAAGGTATTTTGCATATTTATCTGCACATTACATTTGTTCACAAATATTTCCACTACAAGCATTGTATTATCTATCATCAAAATATAGGCTAATGATGTGTAATGTGAAAAAAACTCTCTTGATTTAGCTTAAAATTGTATCTTCCTGTATATTACAATTATTATTATTATTATTATTATTATTATTATTATTAATATACTGTCCTTTCCCCCTAGCATTTACATACATAGGCAAACATTCAATGCCTTTAGGAGCCCCCGGGGAACAGTGGGTTAAATCGAGAGCTGCTGAACTTGCTTACTGAAAGGTCACAGGTTTGAATCCAGGGAGAGGCATAAGCTCCCACTGTTAGCCCCAGCTTCTGCCAACCTAGCAGTTCAAAAACATGTAAATGTTAGTAGATCAATAAGTACTGCTCCAGTTGGAAGGTAATGGTGCACCATGCAGTCATGCCAGCTACATGACCTTGGAGGTGTCGACTGACAACACTGGCTCTTCAGCTTAGAAGTGGAGATGAGCACCAACCCCCAGAGTTTGACACAACTGGACTTAATGTCAGGAGAAAACCTTTACCTTTTTTCAATGCCTTTACAATCATATACAATGAGACATACAAACACTAACAAAGGTAGAGGCTTCTCCTTTCATTTCCAGCTTCTGGAGGTGGTGCTCATCTCTGGCTTTCCTCCATTTTTCACGCCAAGGAGCCTGTGTTATCATGCTTGGAGCGTCTCTTTGCTGAAGCAGGACCTATTTATCTACTCACATTTTCATGTTTTTGAACTGTTAAGTTAGCAGGAACTGGAGCTGACAGACAGGAACTCACCCCGTCTCACAGATTGAACTGCCAACCTTCAGGTCAGCAGTTCAGCCAATCTGCAGGTCAGCAGTTCAGCAGCACAAAGGTTTAACTCATCACACTACCGCGATGAGTTAAATAGTAGGTTTAACTTTCCTCTAATAAGTTTTCCCCATTCAACTGATTTTATGAACTTCTGCCATAAGAAAAGCCTTGCTTTCTTTATTTCCCAGGAATGTAGGTTCTTTTTAAATTGCAAAATGTGCACGTTCTTCTCTGCAAGTTTCCCCAGTTGGGTACCCCCCAGTTGTGTTGAACTACAACTTCCACAATCCAATAGCCAACTGTGCTCAACTATTGGACCATGTAATCCAACACATCTGGAAAGGCAGGTCGGAGAAGGCTGATCTCTAGTTTCATAAAATTTGTTACATTATTTTTCTTTAAATTGTTATTCTTCCTGGTGCTGTAAAATAATATCTTCCTTGAGTCCCTGGGAAGAACTTTGTGAGAAAATGAAATAAAGTAACAAGGAAGTCTCTTTCCAGGTGGCTTGACTTGCATTTTGTGCTGTTGAGGCCCAAAAAAATAAATAAATAGAAATAAGCCACAAAGATCTGGGCAAAGAGGGTGGAAAATATAGTTTTTGGACAAAAGCCATTAGAAAATAAAACTTGCCACGCTTTGACGGAGAGATATGTCTCAAAGATTTTAAGCTGTCTTTTCTCCAACCTGTTATTTCTCTCCAGTGGTTGAAAGGCTTGTCCAGAAAGGTCATTTCCAGGTCCCCATTGGAAAGGAAAAGCACGAGATCAAGGTTTCACACTACGTAAGCGGAGAAATCACAGATTTTCAGGTGAGGAAAAAAACACAAAGACATGCATTTGTTGCATCCTTCCCACCAAGCAGGAACCTCTGCCAGCTTCTAATCTAAGTCAAGAGTGAGCTCATCATCACCAAGTTCTGTCTTAAGACCGAGAAAGGGATTCACTGCGTTGGCACCAGTCACCCATTGGAGAGCAGGGAAAGAATTCCTTTAGTTGGGTTTGGGCAGTAAGACGGAGCCCCTGGTGGCGCAGTGGGTTAAACCCTTGTGCCAGCAGGACTGAAGACCGACAGCTCGCAGGTTCAAATCCGGGGAGAGGCGGATGAGCTCCCTCTACCAGCTCCAGCTTCTCATGCGGGGACATGAGAGAAGCCTCCCACAAGGATGATAAAAATATCAAACCATCCGTGCGTCCCCTGGGCAACGTCCTTTCAGACAGCCAATTCTCTCACACCAGAAGCGACTTGCAGTTCTCAGGTCGTTCCTGACACGACCAAAAAAACAAAAGAAAGTAAGACGGTCTATAGAGAGAGAGCCTTCAAAGCATGAGGATTTTACTCTCTTGGTGTAAGGGAGATGTAAATGATGCCCATTTCCATACTTACGTAAAATGAGGATTACGTTTTATTTATTTATTTATTTATTTACGACATTTATATGCCGCCCTTCTCACCCCGAAGGGAACCCAGAGCGGCTTACAAGATATATAAACATACAATATATTATATTATTAGCATAGTACAATATCAGTATTATATATTACTATATTGTACTATACCATTATATTGTAATATTATTAGTAATATTACATGTGATAATAAATATATAATTATAATATCATATTGTTATTAGTATTACTATTATGTTGTATTCCATTATAATATTATGAATATTATATGTATATACAATATATTGTTGTTGTTCATTCGTTCAGTCATTTCCAACTCTTTGTGAATTTATGGACCAGCCCACGCCAGAGCTCCCTGTCGGTTCTCACCACCCCCAGCTCCTTCAAAGTCAATCCAGTCACTTCAAGGATACCATCCATCCATTTTGCCCTTGGTTGGCCCTCTTCCTTTTTCCTTCCATTTTCCCCAGCATAACTGTCTTCTCGAAGTTTTCCTTTCTTCTCATGATGTGGCCATCTTGGTCTCTACTATTCTTCCCTCCAATGAGCAGTCAGGCATTGTATTGTATTGTATTGTATTGTATTATATTATATTATATTATTATATTATTATTAGCATAGCACAGGAGACAAGAGGGAACTGTCCCCTGGCCCCCTCTCTTTTCACTCTGGCCCAGAATGACAGTTGGTGCTAGGGAGAGGGGTCCTTGACTCATGACATATGCAGGAGACAAGATAGAAATTTCTCCTGGCCCACTCTCTCTTCACTCTGGCCCTGAGCGGCAGTTGTTGCTGGGGGGAGGGCCTCCCGACGGGTGACATGTGCAGGAGACAAGATGGAACTATCCCCTGGCCCCCTTTCTAAACTCTGGCCCAGAGCAGCAGTTGATGCTGTGGGGAGGGGTCCCTGACTAATAACATATACAGGAGACAAGATGGAACTATCCCCAGGCCCCCTCTCTCTTTACTCTGGCCCAGAGTGGCAGTTGGGCTAGGGAGAGGGGTCCCCAACTGATGACATATGCAGGAGACAAGATGGAACTGACCTCTGGCCCCTCTCTTCCCTCTGGCCCAGAGTGGCAGTTGGTGCTGGGGGGAGGGGTCCCCAACTGATGACATGTGCAGGAGACAAGATGGAACTGTCCTCCTGGCCCTCTCTCTCTTCACTCTGGCCCAGAGCGGCAGTTGGTGCTGGGGGAGGGGTCCCCAACTGATGACATATGCAGGAGACAAGATGGAACTGTCCCCTGGCCCCTCTCTCTTCACTCTGGCCCAGAGTGGCAGTTGGTGATAGGGGGGGGGGGGGTCCCCAACTGATGACATATGCAGGAGACAAGATGGAACTGTCCCCTGGCCCCCTCTCTCTTCACTCTGGCCCAGAGCAGCAGTTGGTGCTGTGATGGAGGTCCCCAACTGATGACATATGCAGGAGACAAGATGGAACTGTCCCCTGGCCCCCTGTCTCTTCCCTCTGGCCCAGAGCAGCAATTAGTGCTGGGGGGAGGGGTCCCCAACTGATGACATAGGCAGGAGACAAGACCGAACTGTCCCCTGGCCCCCTCTGTCTTATTGTGCATGCTTTTCATTGGTAGCGCCTTACGGTCAGAAAGGGTGTCTCTGCTTTAGATCCCACCTCTTCAGGAAAGTAAAACTGGCAGAAAGTTGATTTTTTTTTGTTACTATCTCAGCATCTGCTCCTAGGATTTGCATGCTGCAGAGGGCCAAGTGAGGTCTAGTTTGAGTATGTGCACTCACCAGCCACCACTTCTTTTCCTCCATATCCCAGTTCCGCCCTTCTGTCTGTGCCCAGACCGTCCTGCTGTCGGGAATTCCAGACATCTTGGGTGAGGAGTTGATGCGTGAAGCCCTGGAGATTCACTTCCAGAAGCCCAGCAAAGGCGGAGGAGAGGTGGAAACTGTTGTTTACGTCCCAGCAGGAGTCTCTGCGGCAGCCGTCTTTGAGGAGGCAAAGACTTAAGTGGATCTGATTTCCCAACCCAGCCAAACCAATAAATAAATAAGACTGGTTGGGAAATCACAAGTGTTTGCTAAAATCTATGGGAGAAGAAGCATTGAGAAAATTGTGGACACTGCAATTCTGGGAATTGGGAGGCTGACGTTTTGATAGCTGATAGTGATGACAAATGTATGGTAGCAAAACCTGTGCAAATATCAAAGTGGACAAAAAAATGGAAATGGCTGGATTTTGACCCGATCTCAGAGGGTGTGAAGAAGCCAAGGGAAGGGTTTTGAAAGATCTCTGTTTCTTCTACCTCAAGTGATAAAGAAGCACTGTGGCATAACTCCCCTTCTCTTGAAATCTGAGCGATCTCATATTAGTTTGAAGTGTATGTTTTCCCCCTACTCTATTGCTTAGCATTTGCATGATTCCGATTGCTCATTGTTTGCTTTTTGCACAGAAAGATGAGAAGGCCAAGAAGGATTAAAGCCATGCTATTTGCTGATATGTAATTCATTGTATATTTATTTATTTATTTATTATTTGGACTTATATGCCGCCATTCCCCTGGGGCTCGGAGCAGCTTACAAGAATGGCTAAAATCTAACAAAATTTAAAAGCAATTTAAAACAATTTAAAAGTGGCAATATCAAACATTAAAAGCCTGTCGAAACAGGTATGTCTTACATGCCCTGCGGAAAGCTGGTAAGTCCCGCAAGGCACGGACTTCAGGTGGCAGAGTATTCCAGAGTGATGGTGCTACTGCTGTGAAGGCTCTACGTCTGGTTGCTGTTAGACGCAAGGTCTTGACACTGGGAATTTCCAATAGATCTTGGTCCTCAGAACGGAGGGATCTCTGGGGTTGGTAGGGGGTGAGGCGGTCCCTCAGGTACATTGGCCCCAGACCATGCAAGGCCTTAAAGGTGAGTACCATCACTTTGAAAATGATCCAGTGCTCAATTGGTAACCAATGCAGCTGCAGTAAGATTGGTGTTATGTGGCATCTCATCGGAGCTCAATTGGTAACCAATGTAGCTGTAGTAAGATTGGAGTTATGTGGCATCTCATCGGAATTCCCGCAAGAAGCTGAGCAGCTGCATTTTGTACCAACTTGAGCTTCCGGATCACCGACAAAGGAAGGCCAATGTAGAGGGCGTTACAGTAGTCCAGTCTTGAGATGACCGTGGCCTGGATCACCGTAGCTAGGTCGTCCCTGGACAGGTAGGGGGCCAGCCGTCTGGCCTGCCGCAGATGAAAAAAGGCGGTTCTGCTAACGGCGGATACCTGGGCCTCCATCGTCAGCAGAGGGTCCAAAAGGACTCCCAGACTCTTTACCAATGATGACGGGCGTAGCGCCTCGCCATCCAGGGTAGGCAGCTGGATATCCCCACTGCCCGGTCGACCCAGCCATAGGATCTCCGTCTTTGCTGGATTCACCCTCAACCTGCTGGCACGCAGCCATCCAGTAACGGCCTCGAGGCACTGATGGAAACAATCGGGTACAGAGTCCGGTCGGCCTTCCATCTTCAGCACCAGCTGAGTGTCATCGGCGTACTGATAACACTCAAGCCCAAAACCTCGAACCAGCTGAGCAAGTGGTCGCATATAGATGTTAAACAACAGAGGGGAGAGAATGGCCCCCTGAGGAACCCCACAAGATAGAGGGGACCTCTCAGAGACCAGGCCTCCCCTCTCCACTCGCTGTCCACAGTTGTGAAGAAAGGAGGACAGCCAGTTTAAAGCTGTCCCCCTGACTCCAGCAACAGCAAGGCGGTGGGTCAAAAGATTGTGGTCGACTGTGTCAAATGCTGCTGTGAGATCCAATAACACAAGCAGCGCTGACCCGCCCTGGTCAAGCTGGCATCGAAGGTGATCCGTGATGGAGACCAGCACAGTCTCTGTCCCATGCCCCGCACGGAAGCCGGACTGGAAGGGATCTAGTCCGGCTGTGTCGTCTAGGAATTGCTGCAACTGCTCCGCTGCTGCCCTCTCAATCACCTTGCCCAGGAACGAGAGATTCGAAACTGGGCGGTAACTGGAGGGAACCGAACAATCTAAGTCTGGTTTCTTCAGCAGGGGAGAGACCACCGCCTCTTTTAAACCCTCTGGAAAAACTCCTTGCTCAAGGGAGCTGTTTATAATCTTCAACAGAGGGTCGTGTAATCCCTCCAAGCAGGATTCCATTATCCTGCTTGAGTCCATTATTTCCAAGAGAATGAGTGTGTGTATGTGCATGCATGGAAATCCATACCAATTTCTGCTGTGACTTGCCAGTGTCACAAAAGTTGCATCTACAACTGTGGCACTTAATTTGAGGAAATATTTATTATCCAAGAAGTCCAAGAAGGTAGATAAGGCAATAGCATAGAATTCAGAGAAAGCATACAGGTGATCAAGGGGATGGAGTTGTTTTTTTTCCGTGTCAGAAGTGACTTGACAAACTGCAAGTCTCTTCTGGTGTGGGAGAATTGGCTCTTTGCAAAGAAACTGCCTGGATGTTTTACTGTCCTGTGGGAGGCTTCTTTCATGTCCCCACATGGGAAGCTGGAGCTGACAGACAGGAGCTTACCCCGTGCCGACCTTCAGCTAAGCAGTTCAGCTGGCACAAGGGTTAAACCCATTGTGCCACCACAGCTCTAAGGGGATGGAGTGACCTCTATTGAACTCAAAACCTGCAGGCCTGCCTTTAACGCACTTGTCAAACTCAAGGCTCGTGGGCCAAATACGGCCCTCCGTGTTCTTTTGATGGAACCCTCCAGATCAACGTTTATCAACTTGGGGGTCAGCCCCCCGGGGGGGGGGTTGCGAGGGGGTGTCAGAGGGGTCGTTGTTCGAGTACAATTGTCTTCCAAGGTCGATGTAATGGTGGTGGGTCTGTAGGTGACTGTGGAGCCTTATTCTTGATTTGCATGTTCTCCTGCAGTGAGGGCATCCGCTTCAGGGTAGAAGGCGGTCCCAGTCAGGGTTGGCTTGACACGCCTTCCTCTTGGCACGTTTCTCTCTTTCACCCTCCATTCATGCCTCTTCAAATTCTGCAGCACTGCTGGTCACAGCTGACCTCCAGCTGGAGTGCTCAAGGGCCAGGGCTTCCCAGTTCTCAGTGTCTATGCCAGAGTTTTTAAGGTTGGCTTTGAGCCCATCTTTAAATCTCTTTTCCTGCCCACCAACATTCTGTTTTCCGTTCTTGAGTTCGGAGTAGAGCAACTGCTTTGGGAGACTGTGGTCGGGCATCCAGACAACGTGGCCGGTCCAGCAGAGTTGATGGCGGAGGACCATTGCTTCAATGCTGGTGGCCGTTGCTTCTTCCAGCACGCTGATATTTGTCTGCCTGTCTTCCCAAGAGATTTGCAGGATTTTTCAGAGGCAACGTTGATGGAATTGTTCCAGGAGTTGCATGTGACGTCTGTAGAAAGTCCATGTCTCGCAGGTGTATAGCAGGGTTGGGAGGACAATCTATATCAGCGGTTCTCAACCTGGGGGTCGTGACCCCCCAGGGGGTCGTTAGGCCATTTTCGGGGGGTCGCGAAGCTGCCTTGGTTGGCCCCGCCCCCTCCAAAATGGCTGCCATGCGGGCAGTCATTCCCTCGGCCCAGGCGCCTCTCTGAACTTGGAGGGTGCGTGGGCCAGGCGGAGGCCTGCCCGCAAGGCCTCGCCATGCGGGCAGTCTTTCCGCCCGGCCCAGGCGCCTCTCCGAACTCGGAGGGGCGTGTAGGCCGGGCGGAGGTCTGCCTGCACAGCCTTGCCATTGAGGAGCATCGTCCCCTGGGCGTATGGCTCCCCGCATGGCCTGGTCATCCATGGATTGCCATGGCTGCCTGGCACTCACCCCCTGCAGAACCGGGAGGAGGGCTCCACATGGCCTGGCAGTCTGGGGAGCCTTTGCCACCGAGCCCTCACCCCCTGCCGAGCTCGGTCCAGATCCATTTGTGTTTGGGTTCACAGTGCTCTCTGGATGGAGGTCAACTACAACTTCAAATTAAGGTAAATTTCCCCTAAAGACCTTCAGTATTTTTTGCTGACCATGGGGTTCTGTGTGCCAAGTTAAGTCCAATACCATGTTTGTTGGAGCTTTACTAATTGCAGGAGGAACTGTAACTTCTACATGTCTGAACATATTTTCCCCAAACTTCTCCAGTGTTTTCTATTGATTTTGGGAGTTCTGTATGTCAAGTTTGGTTCAATTCCATTGTTGTTGGAGTTCAGAATGCTCTTTGATGGCAGGGGAACTATACATCCCAGTAACTGCAACTCCTAAATGTCAAAATCTGTTTCCCTCAAATTCCACCAGTTTTCAATTTTGGGTATATTGAGTATTTGTGCCAAGTTGGGTCCAAATGCACAGTCTTTCACAGTGGTCTCCATTTGTAGGTGAACTACATCTCCTGTAAATCATTGTCAATTCCTCCCAGCCCCTCCAGTATTTTCTGTTGATCATTGGGGTTCTGTGTGCCAAGTTTGTTCCAGGTCTATAATTTGTTGGGGTCTTAGTGGTCTGTGGAAGTCAGTGCTGAATCGGTTGAAGGTACTGCAAATCCCATCATCCGTCGTCCATACTTCCCGAGCATATTGTTTTTGTAAGCAATTACTATGCTTTAATTATGTTCAATTTCTAACAATGAAAATGCATCCGGCATATCACATGTTTCCGTTATGATTCATAAGAGTAGCAAAATTACCGTTATGAAATAGCAACGAAAATATGGTTGGGGGTCACCACAACATGAGGAACTTCATTTAGGGGTCACGGCATTAGAAAGGTTGAGAACCACTGATCTATATAAATAAAAATGTAATGTCATTTGTGGGATTAACATAACTAAAAAACCACTGGGGGAATTGACACCAAATTTGGACACAAGACACCTCTCAGGCCAACGAGTGACCATCACTCATCAAAACACTGAAAAACACAGCAGAAGAGACTTAAAAAGCCAAAAAAACAAAAAAAAAATACATGACAACGCATGTGCAAAACCATATGTATACACACACACAAAATATACACAGAAAGGAGGAAGGAAGGAAGAAGGAAGGAAGGAAGAAAGAAGAAAGAAAGGAAGGTAAAGAAGGAAGGAAGGAGAGAAGGAGGGAGAGAAGAAAGGAAAGAAGGAGAGAAGGAAGGAAAAAAAGAAGGGTAGAGAAGGAAGGAGAAGGAGGAGAAGGAAGGAAAGAAGGAAAGAAAGAAAGAAGAGGAAGGAGATAAAGAAGGGTAGAGAAAGGGAAGGAAAAGAGGAGAGGAAAGGAAGGAGAGAAGGAGAGAAGGGAAAGGAAAAGAGGGAAGGAAAGAGGGAGGAAGGAGAGAAAGAAGGAGGGAAGGTTGGCCACAGCAACGCTGGTGGGTACAGCTAGTAGTTTTATAAACAAGCACCTTGAGATTCCTATGGATGTCCCGGTCCTCAAACACTCTCTGCATCATTCAGAAAAATGCTGCACTCGCAGAGCTCAGGCGGTGTTGTATTTCATTGTCAATGTTGACTTTTGTGGAGAGGTGGCTGCCGAGGTAGCCGAAATGGTCAACATTTTCAAATGTTACACCATTAAGCTGTATTTCTGGCATTGGAGAGGGATTGGCTGGTGATGTCCCAGTCCTCAAACACTGTGCTTCATTCGGGAAAATGCTGCACTCGCAGAGCTCAGGCAGTGTTGTATTTCAGTGTCAATGTTGACTTTTGTGGAGAAGTGGCTGCCACGGTAGCCGAAATGGTCAACATTTTCAAATGTTACACCATTAAGCTGTATTCCTGGCATTGGAGAGGGATTTGCTGGTGACTGTCCTGGTCCTCAAACACTCTGTGCTTCATTCGGGAAAATGCTGCACTCGCAGACCTCAGGCAGCACCGGTATTGTGGCGGCGCCGGGATTGTGGCGCAGCTGGCTGAGTGTCAGCTGCATTAAGATCACTCTGACCAAAAGGTCATGAGTTGGAAGCCAGCCCGGGCTGGAGTGAGTGTCCAGCCATTGTGTAGCCTGTTGTCGACCTTTGCTACCCGAAAGACAGTTGCTGTTGCATCTCAGTTCAAGAAACAAGACCATAAGATTAAATCCACCACTCTGGACTGTAGGAAAAGCAATCCTTGTTTATTGATGAAAAATTGGTTACAAAAGAAAGGTAAATGCAGAGTCAAAAAGCCACAGAAAAACACAGTAGTCAATAGGATCTCTGAACTTGAGCAAAACTTCAAAAGCCACAAAACAATAACCAGGAGTCTGTTAGCCTTTTACTAACCATGAACTTGGAAACTAGAAGCCTCTGGGATTACTGGCCATGGAACACAGGAATTCTGCCAAGACCAGCCACAGTCCCGAACGTTGCTTGACCTAAAGAAGCACCCGGCAGGGATGCTCTTAAACCAAAGAAGCTATTCTTAGAAACGCCCCTTGACTTTTCTGTTTGGGCCTCTTTCTGCTGAAGGCGCTGTGACCTTCGTACAGACTGGGAAACAAATCTATCTCTGACTATCTGTTCTCTTCGGACCTCATTATCAAGCCCAGGTGGGGAGATATCACGGCTAACTTCCAAAACATTCTCTTCTAACTGTTGGGTTTCGTTTTCATTCCCACTGACCTCTGCATCAACAACAGATTCCACACTGTCAGAGTCAGGGAGAGCTTGCTCAGTTTGAAAAACTATCAGAGAATCCTGTTCACACAGATCAGGATCAGGCTGAACCCCAACAGTTGCATCTGTCAAGTAGGAAAATAAGGTACCACCTTGTGTGGGAGGCTAAATTAACTAATTTATGAGGCCATCAAAAAGAAAACTCCAGGATATGGAATGCGGAAGAACTTCATCGGTGTTGCTGATGGACGATGAAAGCAGCAGCTCCCCTGGCGGCCAGAAAAAAGTTAAATAGCCTCTGTGTATTGTCTGTATTCGTTGTCTGTCAAACTGGCATTGAATGTTTGCCATATATGTGTATACTGTAATCCGCCCTGAGTCCTCTGCGGGGTGAGAAGGGCGGAATATAAAAACTGTAAATAAATAATACTTCAGTATCAATGTTGACTTATGTGGAGAAGTAGCTGCCGTGGTAGCCGAAATGGTCAACATTTTCAAATGTTACACCATTAAGCTGTATTTCTGGCATTGGAAAGGGATTGGCTGGTGACTGTCCCGGTCTTCAAACACTCTGTGCTTCATTCGGAAAAATGCTGCACTCACAGAGCTCAGGCAGTGTTGTATTTCAGTATCAATGTTGACTTTTGTGCATAAGGCTCGGAGTTTCCGGACCCAGCAATCATACAATCACCCCAGTCTCAACCAATCCAATATAGTTTGTGGCAACTACAAAAACAAAGTTTATGGAGTAGAACAACGAATTTCCAAAGCAGTACAGCACAATTAAACAGGAAATTACACTTTCAAATCAGGAACAGGCTGTTTTTTTTGTCAAGTTTTGCTCCATAGTGACTGGGTAGGCTGCAGTTTGGGTAGGCTTGCCCTTTCCTTTTGCAAGGAGGGCGGAGGCTGGGGAGGGCTTGTTTCGCTTTCGTTTCTCTGCTACTTTCCGTTGCTGGGACCAACCTCCTCGCAGGTACGACTTTGTCTCTTCCTCCCCTCCTCCTGTCTCTCACCCCCAAAGCCGATCCCCCCTTTCTTTCTGATCCAAGCCCCCTGCAAGCCTCCCCCCCCCCCCATCAATCTTCCCTGTGAGAAGGAAAGGAAGCCTGGTTCCTCCAGTTCCTCTTCTGCGCCAGGAAAGGGAGGGAGGGGTCCCAAGTTGCATCGCTTCTGGTAAACAAAAGGGTTTCCTTTTCCTCTTAAAGGGGGCTCCAGGCTGGTCTCATCCCCTTCCCATTGCTTTTCTGGGGGGTCGCTTTGAAGACATTTCCAAACTTGGGAATGGGGAAGGGATTAAAGCTGGGTTTATTTATTTGTCGTGTCAGGGCAACCAGTCAATTATATTACATTTCTAACAGAACAAAGCAAACAAACAGACAAAATACAAAATTTGTGAGTTTGGTAGTTGATTAAATGTCCTTTGACCAGTATCTGGCCCCTTGGAGTGCTTCTGGTGTTGCTGCAAGAAGGTCCTCCATTGTGCATGTGGCAGGGCTCAGGGTGCATTGCAGCAGGTGGTCAGTGGTTTGCTCTTCTCCACACTCGCATGTTGGATTCCACTTTGTAGCCCCATTTCTGAAGGTTGGCTCTGCATCTCGTGGTGCCAGAGCGCAGTCTGTTCAGCGCCTTCCAAGTCGCCCAGTTTTCTGTGTGCCCAGGGGGGAGTCTCTCATTTGGTATCAGCCATTGGTTAAAGTTCTGGGTTTGAGCCTGCCACTTTTGGACTCTCGCTTGCTGAGGTGTTCCAGCGAGTGTCATAGAATCATAGAACCAAAGAGTTGGAAGAGACCTCATGGGCCATCCAGTCCAACCCCCTGCCAAGAAGCAGGAATGTTGCATTCAAATAACCCTGATTTTTAATTTATTTATTTATTTACTTTATTTGTATACCGCAGTTTCTCAGCCCGTAGGCGACTCAACGCGGTTAACAACAAGAGCAAAAATTCAATGCTAAAAACATACACATCTCCCTGACATTAAGTCCAGTCATGTCTGACTCTGGGGTGTGGTGCTCATCTCCATTTCTAAGCCGAAGAGCCAGCGTTGTCTGTAGACACCTCCAAGGTCATGTGGCCGGCATGACTGCATGGAGCGCCGTTACCTTCCCGCCGGAGCGGTACCTATTGATCTACTCACATTTGCATGTTTTCGAACTGCTAGGTTGGCAGAAGCTAGGGCTGACAGCGGAAGCTCATGCCGCTCCCCGGAATCAAACCTGCGACCTTTCGATCAACAAGCTCAGCAGCTCAGTGCTTTAACCCACTGCGCCACCGGGGGCTAACAACATACACTATATAAAAACAATTAACACCGTAGTATACTAAGTAATTACACATCAGTAAACAACACATTAACATCTCGTAACTAGAATCGTGATCCAACTCGTCATCCGTAATTCCGTTTTCCTATATTCATTATATTCATTGCACTGCTTATCCGAACGCCTGTTCAAATAGCCAGGTTTTCAGTTTTCTTCGAAACACCATTAACGAGGGGGCTGATCTAATGTCCATGGGAAGGGTGTTCCACAGCCGAGGGGCCACCACTGAGAAGGCCCTGTCCCTCGTCCCCGCCAAACGTTCCTGTGAAGCAGGCGGGATCGAGAGCAGGGCCTCCCCAGAAGATCTTAAAGTCCTGGTGGGTTCATAGGCGGAGATGCGTTCAGATAGCAACTTCTGCCAAGAAGCAGGAATATTGCATTCAAATCACCCCTGACAGATGGCCATCCAGCCTCTGTTTAAAAGCTTCCAAAGAAGGAGCCTCCACCACATTCCGGGGCAGAGAGTTCCACTGCTGAACGGCTCTCACAGTCAGGAAGTTCTTCCTCGTGTTCAGATGGAATCTCCTCTCTTGTAGTTTGAAGCCATTGTTCCGCGTCCTAGTCTCCAGGGAAGCAGAAAAAAAGCTTGCTCCCTCCTCCCTGTGGCTTCCTCTCACATATTTATACATGGCTATCATATCTCCTCTCAGCCTTCTCTTCTTCAGGCTAAACATGCCCAGCTCCTTAAGCCGCTCCTCATAGGGCTTGTTCTCCAGACCCTTGATCATTTTAGTCGCCTCCTCTGGACACATTCCAACTTGTCAATATCTCTCTTCAATTGTGGTGCCCAGAATTGGACACAATATTCCAGGTGTGGTCTAACCAAAGCAGAATAGAGGGGTAGCATTACTTCCCTAGATCTAGACACTAGACTCCTATTGATGCAGGCCAAAATCCCATTGGCTTTTTTTGCCGCCACATCACATTGTTGGCTCATGTTTAACTTGTTGTCCACGAGGACTCCAAGATCTTTTTCACACGTACTGCTCTCGAGCCAGGCGTCCCCCATTCTGTATCTTTGCATTTCGTTTTTCCTGCCAAAGTGGAGTATCTTGCATTTGTCACTGTTGAACTTCATTTTGTTAGTTTTGGCCCATCTCTATCATCTGTCAAGATCGTTTTGAATCCTGCTCCTGTCCTCTGGAGTATTGGCTATCCCTCTGTAGATCTTAAAAAACTCTGGCTGGATCTACCCAGTCCTATATCCCAGATTATCTTCTTTCTTACCCCAGATTATCTGGCAGTGTAGACTCATATATTCCAGTTCAGACCAGATAATTTGGGATCCAGTCTCTGAGACCTTTCTACATTGCCATATAAAATCTGGATTATCTTCTTTGAACTGGATTATATGACAGTGTAGACTGTTATACCTCAGTTCAAGGAAGATAATCTGGCATCAGATCTAGTCTCTTAGGTCCCATCCACACAACTATCTAAAATCCATATTGAATTGGATCATCTGGCAGTGTGGACTCAGATAATCCAGTTCAAAGCTGATATTGTGGTTTAGCTGCCTTGATATTCTGGATTATATGGCTGTGTGGAAGGGCTCATGAGGCTTCTGAACTCCATCAATGATGGAATAGAATCAAACATGGCACACAGAATTCCCATGACCAAGAGAAAATATTGGGAAGGTCTGGTGGACATTGACCTTGAGTTTTTGGAGTTGTAGTTCACCTATATCCAGACTGCGGACTCAAGCAATGATGGATCTGGATCAAACTTGGCACAAATACCCAATATGCCCAAATGTGAACACTGGTAGAGTTTGGAGAAAATGGACCTTGACATTTGGGAGTTGTAGTTGTTGGGATTTATAGTTCACCCACAAAGAAATAGCATTCTGAACCCCACCAATGATAGAATTGGACCAAACTTTCCACACAGAACCCCCATGACCAACAGAAAATACTATGTTTTCTGATGGTCTTTGGCGACCCCTCTGACACCCCCTCACGACCCCCACAGGGGTCCCGACCCACAGGTTGAGAAACACTGTTCTACAGGGAGGTTCTTCAAGTTTTACCTTGGCATGAGGACTGATTTAATGTACTTCGTGAACTTCATGCCAATTTTTGATGTTAGCAGTTCATGGTCTGCTTGTGATCTTCATTGTGCCTTTCTCCTTTATTGCACTTGCTATTTAAAAAGGACCTTGTTATGTCATTGGCTATCATCCAACACTGTAGTGAGAAATTCAACAGTCAAATTATGTAAAGCCAGAGCGCTCATGATGAATTGCGACTCCAAGCTATAGAGATGTCCCAGAAGTTTTGTTTCCAAGATAGTGCCAAAATCCACATAACCCAGGAAAAGGTTTTGGAGACATCACCAAAAGATGAAGGCCCGACAATCCCATCCTTCCAGAAAAACGGTAACTTTGCCGCCTGCCGATATATATACAGTGGAACCTCTACTTAAGAGCATAGCAACTTAAGAGAGTTTTGAGTTAAAAGCCATCACTTGGCTCAGAATTCACTTTGACATAAGAGCAGCATTTTGGGTTAAGAGCTAGTGCAAGATTGTAGGTGAACTATAAATCCCAGCAACTACAACTCCCAATTGTCAAGGTCTATTTTCCCCAAACTCCTTCCGTGTTCATATTTGGGCATATGGAATATTCCTGCCAAGTTTGGTCCAGATCCATCATTGTTTGAGTCCACAGTGCTCTCCGGATGTAGGTGAACTACAACTCCCAAACTCAACATCAATTCCCACCAAACCCTTCTTGTGTTTTCTGTTGGTCATGGGAGTCCTGTGTGCCACGTTTCGTTCAATTCCATCATTAGTGGAGTTCAGAATGGTCTTTGATTGTAGGTGAACTATACATCCCAGCAACTACAATGACAAAATCAATTTTTTTGAGTGATGGTCGCTCCTTGGGTTAGTATGTATCTTGTGTCCAAATTTGGTGGCAATTCGTCCAGTGGTTTTTGAGTTATGTTAATCCCACAAACGAACATTACATTTTTATTTATATAGACTAGCTGTATCCGCCATGTGGATATAGACTAGCTGTATCCGCCTCTCCTTTCTATCTCTCTTTCCTTCCTTCCCTCTTTTTCTTTCCCTTCTCTTTTCTTCCTTCTCTACTTTTTTCTTTTCTCACTTTGCTCTTTGGTTCCATCCTTCCTTGTCTCTTTCCTTCCTTCCTTCCTTCCTTCCTTCCTTCCTTCCTTCCTTCCTTCCTTCCTCCTCCTTCTTTCCCTCCCTTCCTTCTCTTCCTTTCTCCTCCTCCTTCCTCTCCTTTCCCCTTCTCTCCTTCCCACCTTCTTTCCCTTCTTCTCTCCTACCTTCTCTACCCTTCTTTCTTTCCTTCCTCCTCTCCTTCCCTCTTTCTCTCCCTCCTTCCTTCTTTACCTTTATTTCCTTCTTTCTCTCCTTCCTTCCTTCCCTCTTCTTCTTTCCCTTCTTCTTTCTTCCTTCTCTACCTGTTTCTTTTCTTGCTTCCTTTGCTCTTTGGTTCCTTCCTTCTCTACCCTTTTTTTCCTTCCTTTCCCCTTCCCCCTTTCTGTGTATGTGTTTTGTGTGTGTGCATATATATGTGTATATATGTGTGTTTGCATATATATGTGGTTTTGTGCATGCGTTGTGATGTAATTTTCGTTTTTTGGCTTTTTAAATCCCTTCTGCTGTGTTTTCAGTGT